CTAAAGAGTTTGTCACAATCAATGTTTGTTAACACAACTAGGAGATAGGACCTTCATACATTCAGGCCCAGCACATAACCAAGTATTTAGGGCCTTACAAGAGGCTAATAGGATTGAGGTAATTCTAATCTCTGGAGGAAAATTGTTCCAATTATACACCATTTGATAAATGCTAGTATCTCTTTAACATCTGTTTTTGGCAATTTTTCCTGTATTTTCTTTATATCTAACATAATTATCAACTACATTTCCATCTAAATCTCCTTGCTGTACTTTCTTGTAAGAATACAACTAAAGCATGTTAAGGTAGTTTGCTCTTAAACACTGAATGAGATCAAATATCAAAACACATGTAAGGTATAAGTGAATGGATTGAGAAGAAAAAAAAAGATAAGGAAAGTAGTGGTTGAGTAAGGTTAATGAGTTTCTCACAAAGAGAAGTGAGGTTTAAAGAGAAGACCTGGTGTGGACATGGAAGCGAGGATGATTTACAGGAATTGGAATATATGGACAGGGGTAGTGAAAGAAATTTCATTTCATTTCTTAGTTGCTTGGGTTTACTGTTTTTTGTTTAATCCTTTCATGCACTTGGTATAATATAGCATTATGAATATAGTATACAACTTCATTGCTGAAAATAAAGAATTTTGATTTGTATTTAATATCTTAGGTAAACTGCGACTTCACTTATGTCTAGTATTTTTCATGTTCATTGCATTTTTGAAGAATATTGTATTGGATCAATTTTCTTATAAATAGATTAAACTGGTTAAAGTGAACCTATCAGTATAAATGAGAACTGACTAGATGAAATCATTTATCATTAACGCCAGAAATAAGAACTGAGTGGGTGCTGTCCATCACTTTCTGAAATGGAGATTATGCTGTTTCAGCAGATAGCTATCTATACAACCTTGTCTGGATTTAAAAGCTAAACAAATTTGAGCCTTGTTATTAAGACTTGGATGATAAATCGTTAGAGAATATCAGAACTGCAGACTTAACAAGGAAATTGGAAAAAAATCCCAAACAAAGCAAAGGCAAAGCATTACATTTTGTTGCCAATAAAATGAAATGGATGTTTTTCTAAAGAACATTGGAGTCACTAATCTTATTACATTCCAAAGAATATTTTTGGTTAAATCTAAAGCTTTATCTTAGCAACCCTGATTGAATCTGTTAAGTAGAAGTATTGATCCAAATGACTCAGCTTCTTTAATAGCATATTTAAAGATGTATTAACCCCAAAGCTACAGAGGAGAAAGTGGTTGTATTCATTTTGGACTCACTTAGCTTGCACAATCAACAGTTTCTCTTCCATGGATGAAACACATACTTAAACTTGCTTGATTCTGAAATACTTGTTGAAAATGTTTCACTTTCAGGTCATCACATTAATCCTGCTCTCAGCATGGCTTATCCATGTCAATACTTTAATTTTTCTTCTGGGAGAGGCTGAAATAATAGTAGTTTGAAATCTAATCTTTGTCATTTCTATTTAAACGATTTTGCATAGCGCTGCTGGAATGGGTTTGAGACCAAATTAAACCAGGTAACAGTAAGCTAAATAGGTGAATAGACTAAGGCAATTTCCTGTGAGTCTTTTAAATTAATAATTTATAAGTATATATAACTTTAAGTATAATTAGATTGTAACCTCCAGAGTATTTTATTTGATTCCCTGATTCTCTGGTGGATTACTGGAAAATTAAATTATGTTAGCTTATTAGTTTCCTTTTATCATTCTATCTGCATTAAAATAATCTGAATTGGCATTAATCAGAACTTTGGCTTTTATCTAACAATGGCCTCATTAGAAATAAAAGTCATGGGTAGATTAGAAACTGGCATTAGACACATCCAGTGCATTTTTGCCAGTGAATTTCCTTTTCAGGCTGACAGACTTTTGCAGTTTGAAAGCTTTCTGCTGATGTATTTTAATTTCATGCATTCTCTCATGCTTCATATTCTCTTCATATTTCATGGCAGTACTCTATTGATTCAGATTGTATTGGTAACTTTCAAGTTGTAACAAATATTCGATCGGACATTCAAGGCAGTCGGTCTTGTCCCTTGGTGGCTTCCTCAACCACTCCTCTCTCTCTCTCTCTCTCTCTCTCTCTCTCTCTCTCCCTCCCTCCCTCCCTCCCTCCCTCCCTCCCTCCCTCCCTCCCTCCCTCTTTCTCTCCAGAAAAATAGAATTTAAGATTACAATATAAAATATATTCTAATCATAGTCTGGGATAACAAAATTTTTTGAATCCTATTGTAATTTGTAATATGCTATTTTTGGGTAGCATAAAAATTACAATTCACTTTTGTGAAGATGATGGCAGGTAAATGAAATAAACTTTAATTCTAGTGTAAAAACCAAGTATGTTCGCTTAATTATTCACTCATCACGGTTTTATCACAATCCAGACATCTTTTGCACAAAACCTGAAAGTATTAGCAGGCATTCCAGGTTAGCAGGAAGTAGTTCAATTAGTTTCAAATCCAGAAGACGACATGTTGAGAAATGCATTTCTCATGAGAAGCCACTGAAAATTATTCTTGACCTTGTCTTTCTGACCTCTAGTGATTCTATGTCAAGATCACATGGAGCTTTCTTTGCCAAGGGTACCCACAAGGGATTTGTTTTATATGCATTGCTTGTCATGCATATAAAACATTGAAACAGTTCTTTAGGGACACTCCTGTCTGTTGAAAGGCAGGGCTAGTTTCTTTCCTAGCCTGCTGCCCTAGTGGGAAAAAAAAACCCACTGGAGCCTGTCTGTTCTATTTCCTTTTAAGGCAATCTGTAGGTATCCAAGGTAATCTAATGATTTGGCTGAGAGGAACACAAAACACAGGTAATTTGCAGGATGAGGAAAGGCAGTTGTGGCAAGATAGCAGGTTTTGTTTTTAGTTTTCATTTTACATACATCTTTTTCTTTGGACAAAATATATTATCTACCGTATATGCCGGCGTATTAGGCGACCCGGCGTATAAGACGACCCCCGTCTTTATCGCCGAGCCGCATTCCTAGAACGTCGTCTTATACGCCGGAAACTACCAGTATTTCCGGCGTATAAGACGACTCGGCATATAAGACAACCCCCGTCTTTGGCGCCGAGTTTAGCACTTCCGGAAGTCATCTTATACGCCGGCATATACGGTAGTAATTTGGGAGTAGATGGTCCTGATATTCACAAAATACCTATATTTTCCTCTAATATTACAACATTTGTTTCTTATTTTTAATGCAGTTCAAGGTATTTATATCAAAAGGAAAATCTTTTGAAAAGGATGGACCTCAGATTTCACTTCCTTGTACCTCAGACACTGTTTTGTGCTTCACAGGCAGGCCCATTGGACAACTCTGTTTGGAGAAGGTTTTACAAAGAAACTTGAAGGTCACCCGGTTTTAAATTACAGGGTGAATAGACTAATTGAACTTGCAGAGAATTGCAGCAGATCTGCCTTGTTTTTCTGAGATAGGAATGCAGGCTTTGCTAAAATTTGTTATTTCAAGATACAGAGGACCTTTCCTTCTTGTATGCCTAGTCTTTTCCTCACTCAACCCCCTTGTAAACTTGCCACATATGCCTAGAGATGCTATGTGTTGTTTTTTTTTTTTTTTTTGGTCTATTTGATTACAATAGCACTGCTCTTCAAAAAGCTTCTCTACATGTCTTTTTTTTTTTTTGGTAGGATATTTTAATGATAGGAAAAGCTTTGTTTAAGTTTCCTGTCTTAAACAGCTATTAAAAGATACAGAATGAACAATAGGTTCCTTCCTTATAGGTTCCTTCCTTATATGCTACCTCACCTCTTCCAACAAGGGGTGAGGTAGCATCAAGGGGCTGATTATATCTGGTTATATATCTCAGCTCTCTGCCAAACTGGAGATGGAGTAGAAGTGCTGACCCAATGCTTGAAGGCTGTTAAGGTAGAAAAGAATAGATTTGGATTGATTGCATCCAGATCTGTATAGCTTTGGGTCCATGGGCCAGATGTTTCTGGAGTAGTACATTATTTGGCCCTGAACAGGGTTATACTCTCCCACTTAAAAGTTTGTCCACAACTTGGAAATCTTCCTGGACTTGAAGCTTCTGCTTAAGGAGCAGATAGAAACTGTGGTTAACAGGGCTTTTGCATAACTACCTCTGCTCCATTAATTGCCACCATTCCTGGATCAGGAAGCCTTGTTTGCAGTCAGTCGTACCATAATCACCTCCTGTTTGAATTACTGTATACACTCTACATGGAACTGCCCTTGAAAAGCACTCAGAAGCTACACCTGGTATTAAATTTGTATGAATGCCCAGACAGCAATGTATGTCTTCCGTTTACTCAGTTGACCCCACTATTGTAGAAGCTATATTGATTGCCAGTTGGCTTCCAGGTTGTCACCTTTGTGACCTTACATGGCTCTGAATGTGTTTATCTATGGGACTGCCTCCTCCTATATTCAGATTAACTATCTGATCAGATAAAAAAACTCAGTTTCCCCCAGACCTCATCTCTCTAGATCAGGGGTTCTCAACCTTGGCAACTTTAAGACTTGTCGACTTCAACTCCAATTGAAGTCCACAAGTCTTAAAGTTGCCAAGGTTGAGAACCCCTGCTCTAGATAGATCCATTGTTTATTACCTCCTGGTTTCAGGAGAATCTTGGCTTTGGTCTCTAGCCCAGGAGAAGGCATGTTCTGAATGTTGGAATACAGTGGTAGACATAAAGCTTTGTTTTTGTTGTTTTTTTTATCCATTATCATGCTGTTGAAATTTTCGTATTTTTCCAGTGGGGTTATTCATTTTTATGATGATTGTTAGCTACACAGAGCTGTAGTAAATACCTGAATTCTATGTGATTTTGCTAAAAGGACATTTGGGTAATTTCTCAGTAGAGATTTTAACTCGTTGACTCTAAAGCAGCTTCATCAATAGTTAAGTAATACGTACATCCTTCTTCGTTTATTTTTGAATAGTTACATTTATCTCATTTATTTTCTTTACAGGATGCCAAACTGGGGTGGAGGCAAGAAGTGTGGCGTATGCCAGAAAACAGTGTATTTTGCAGAGGAGGTACAATGTGAAGGCAACAGTTTCCACAAATCCTGTTTTTTGTGCAGTGAGTATTCAAGTCCAAGATTTTATGTAGAGGTTTTGTTTTTTACCACACCAATACGCTTACCTAACTTACTGTTACCAGAACTGAATATCAACAGTTTCCTTCAGCTGCCAGTGAGGAATAAGTTGACAATGGGTTTTGCCCTGTGCCATCACAGAGCAATCTTTGTTTTGATTTGTTGCAAAATCATTTGAAAGAAAAGCATATTTTCACCAAAAGTATTTATAGTTACGTAGCTCTCTTCTTATCTAATTCATTGTTTTACCTTAAAATTCTTAGCTCCTGGATTTAAGGCTTGTTAGATTCCTTGGACATGGATGGGATGAAATAGAACAAGCTGATCTAGTAGGATATAATATGAATCTTAAATAGTATACCAACAAAGGAAGAAGAGAGAAAGAAAAAAACAGTTAAAACTATAAGAATCCACCTCCCCCAGCTAGGAAAAAAAACCCCATGTTCTATATATGTTATAATAGATACATAAAAGTAACTCAATTTTTCAGCACGGAATTACTTAATCACTTTTTCCATTGTGTTAATAAAAAGCTAGGTCAAAGGCTAAGAATGAATATGTTTCTTCAATATAGTATTTTAAAAATCCAGAGAAATCATTTCTAACTATTAAAAAAAAAAGTTTTTGGCTCTACTCCAAGCTCTATTATTCCAAACTTCTTCCTAAGTCAATAAAATGCAATTTAGCATTAACGTGTTTGGAAAAAAATGTATTTTCCAAAACCAAGCCTTTGTCCTGCTGGGATTAATGGTGGAAAAACATTAATTTGACCTTCATTTTGGCTAAAGAAAAGCCAATCCCCAGTGAAGTTATTAGAGGGGTCATATAATAACTTTCTATTTGTGCACATATTGCCTTTTCCCTTTTAAATAAAATCACTCGTATTCCACAAAATAAGTCAAAATATAAGCTCCTGGCAAAGTTAAAAATTTGGAAAATTAACCTCTTTGTTATAATTTAAATAGAGAAAACCTATAGATCTGTTTAGTTCAGTTCTGAAGACAGTTCAAACTTCGTGTGTACTACAGCTACAATAGGTTTACTCATCACTCTAAACCAACATTAGTTAAGTTACATTATAACTTACCATGATGTATAAATCCTACTTCTGTGTGCATGTACATTGAAACACATGGTCTAATCTTCAAGTGGGGATGGGGTTCCAATGAGTAAGGGTAGCAACAGAAAAACCAAAATTCCTGTGTTCCACTAGATAAGATTTTTAATAGTTGGGACCAAGACCATGTCCCTCTGCTGCACCTGATGAAGCAAGTAGAGAACTTTGGGAGATGTGAATGTATAATGAAGCTGAGGGAATACAAGTAGCCAGAGCCACATGCCAAGTGGTCACACATATCCCCTTTCTCTGGCCCCTTCCCCTTTATAAATAAATAAGTTTTATTGCTCTTGTTCTTTGACTTTCTATTGCAACCAGAAACAGATGATTCTTATTAGAAGATCAAACTGATCAGTTGCAGAGGGCTTTTGGAATTAACGAAAGATTATATAACAATCAGCTGAAGTTGTATATTACATTAGATCAGGGGTATCAAACTGCCGGCCCGCGGGCTGGACGCATCACAAAGAAACTGCGCCCACCCCATTGCCGGCAATGGGGAAAAAGTTCCGATACGTCACGTGATGTCACATGACGTCGCAAGTTTGACATGTCTGCATTAGATTGTATATTGTATTATACCAACGTATACTGTAGGTTGCATGTTTTTGGTCAGGAAGTTTCTGACTAAAAAAAAGAAACACACCAGAAAATCACCTACTTAGGTCAAATGTTGATCCCTACTTTCCTTTCCACGGGAAAAGCAAATTAGAAAGCTGCACTTCCTACGGCAGGGGTCCTCAACCTTGGCAACTTTAAGACTTGTGGACTTCAACTCCCAGAATTCCTCAGACAGCTTTGAAGTCGACAAGTCTTAAATTGCCAAGGTTGGAGACCCCTGTCCTAAGGAATGCCCAGGTTTCAAATGAAGAGTTTTACAACTAATTTTAGATATCCAAGTCTGTTTCCCGGCTAAAGGTACATTAGTTATTTTAAACAACAAAACAAAAATTCCAACAATTCACACAAGGAGGATAATGGGGAAGGTTGATTATATTATTTTTCAGCTTCATTCACTAGTTACAGTAACATATTTTCAATTTTGTTGACATACTCTTGCTCAGTTAGAAGTTTGTATAACGCAAAAGCTTGAATTATTGAAAGATACATCACAGCAATCATAAGTAGGACTCAGTGGGCTAAATAGAATCGCTCCTTAGTCTTGTGTAGAATCACAGCCTAAATAATTTTGCATCTTATTTACTGCTAGCAAATATATTTTGATTGTTACATATAGATTTTTTCCATGGATTTGTGAAAAATTATTTAATATTAACATCTGATCTCTCTACTCTAGATATTATTGTGGTTCTGATCTATTCAACAGTGAATTTGTAGATTTTATATCTTCAGAGCCACCTCCCTCCCCCAGTGAAGCTGGGAATCTGACAAACAGCCTCTGCAGCCAGCTGATATTTAGATTTTAATAGAAAGCTTTTTGTTCTTACTCACAGCCCCATTATTGCATCCAGGGTTGTTTTATATTCATGCCAGTCAGCTGACCTTTTGTTTTTGCCTTAGGAATCTCATGTATTCTAATACTTGTTTTGCTTGTTGCATAAGGTAAATGGTAGCTGGTAGGAGGAAATATAACTAATAGTACGCATGACCTGGAGTTCCCTCAAAACACTAAAGGGATTGGTCTCCTTAAGGTTGACCTGCTACAGTAGCTGGAAGCCATGTTTTTCCCCACAAGTGGATAATCATAAATACACCGTAGCAACAATACTGCTCTTGGAGCCTGCTTGATTTTTTAAAGAAACCTTATTCCTAAGATGTGTGCAAATTGGCTCCAATATGATGTAATTGTTGATTCCATTCAGATCATTGTTACAATACAATTCACAGTACTAATTCGGGGGGGGGGAATCATTATTTTAATCTAAATGGTTAACTCAGTTCAGAAAATCAGTTTGTAAGTATCTAATTTGATTCAACATTTGTATGAATTATCAGGCCGGTTCATGTTTTTAAATAATAGTTTTATTATGTTATTACAAAGAAAGACTAACACAAACTAAAAAAATAAATAGTGCAGAAAAGAAAAAATAAGAATATAGTAAAGAAAAAAAGAAATGTATAAAGAAATGACTTCCCCCCATTACAAGTATAAACAATGTTTTTTTCCCAAGTTTTTTTATTAATTTTCCAATATTACATTTACATATTTGAAAAGTAGCGTGGCGGTTGAGCACCGTAATTCCATTACATTTGAATATCATCAGTACAAATCTCGAAGTATTACAACAACTAATTCCCTCTCTTTCCCCCATAAAATGTACTGTCATATTCAGATCAATACAGTTCTTATTCTATCAATCAAACAAAATATCTTTCTAGTATTCATCAATAATCTTCAGTCTATACATATCTTAATTAATTTGACAGCCATCTTTTAGACCAGGGGTTCTCAACCTTGGCAACTTTAAGACTTGTGGACTTCAACTCCCAGAATTCCTCAGCCAGCTTTGCTGAGGAATTCTGGGAGCTGAAGTCCACAAGTCTTAAAGTTGCCAAGGTTGAGAACCCCATTTTTAGACAATAACCTAATAAGTTTTTCTTAACTTTAATTTTGCATTGATATTTAAATTTAATGTTTAATTTTTATCATTTCTGGATTTTAAATGATCCCAATTTCTCAGTCTCCTATCTCATAATTAGGGCTAATAATTTTTTTTCTTTTCCTCTTTCTACTTCCTTCCTTTCTTCCTTTCCAGAAAAAGAGAAAAAAAAATAAACCAGCATTTATACCACAAGCCAATATACGAATTTAATTATTAGTATTTATACTTCTAAGTTTTATTAACCTGTGTCTCAACTCATGACAATATCTTAAATTCAAGTCTTAGTTATCTATAAATATTCAAACTTTTAGCAAATCAGTAACCTGGCGATTAATTTTCCCTTAATATTTTAATTTAACGTTTAATATTTTTTTCCAAATTTTAATTAAGCACAATTCCTTTATCACAATTCCTCATATAATCTAATATTTAAAATACAAGCCTTATATGTAATTTCTACCATATATCTTAACAAATAATAAGACAATATAACATTCTTATTTCGATATTTATATTTCTAGATTTTATAAGACCAATTTTTTATCTCAAATCATTACAATATCTTATGTTCAAAATACATATTCTATCCATTTAGATATATTCTATTTAGATCTCATGTATAGATCAAAACCCCAATCCCTTTCAGTCTTATTCTAGCTTTTTTCCTCTGCCAAATCATCTTTCGTATCTTCGCTTTTAAATCATCAAAAAGATCTCCTTGTATTGTTGTGACTATTGTTTGATATTGATAAGGGCGTTCAGTTGCTGTTTTCTTAAGAGGGCTAGCTGATTTAGCAGGTCGTCTCTTTATTTTTCCTGTTCGATGCAGTTGTCCCAAAGTATTTATCTTCTCTTTCATCTGTTTTTCTTTTTTATCTTCAAATTCCTTCTGGTTTATAAGAAAAGTCCTTTCCTTGTTCTCTATTATCAGTTTCCTTTTTGTGTTTTCCACTGTTTGTATTTGTTGAGTATCTAAGTCTTCTGTCACAGCATTTGGTTGTTTCTCTTTCTCTATAAAATTCTGTATAGATGATTCTTTAGTTGAAGTCATAGTTTGAGCTTGCATACAAAGAGTTTGGATAATTGCTTTTAACATATAAAGAATTTGTTCCTGTGGGAGCATTTTAACATATAAAGAATTTGTTGCTCTGTGGGAGAAATCCATTCCTGTTCTATGATTGTAGTGTATTAAACTAAATAAAAAACTTACAATCAGAAAGTCCACCAAGTAAAGAGCTGAGCTGGTGCTTCAAGGTTGCTTTATATCTTATCTGTTTTCAAGGCTTTCAACAAGTCTCTCTTA